AAACCTGTACGTGATTTCAAAGAACGCGGAAGGGTATTTAAGTAAATCAGATGGACTGCAAATAACTGCCAGACCCAAATGTGAATGGAAAAAGGGTCCTGTTATTCGCCCCCCTACAAACCCTATATTCACCCTATATGCACGCGCTTTTTGCATCTGTTTTTTTTTCTTTTGCAAATAAACTTCTCTAATTTACATTAGGGACCCTTTATTTTTAAAATTTATCAAAATTAAAACTTTCCATTATTTTCTTTTTTTTTCTTTTTATATTGTTTATTTTTATTTTATTTTCATTTTATTTTCTCTTATATTATAGTTGAAATTTATTAATTTTTTCTTTAATATTTTTGTCATCGTGTTTTTTAAAATTTATATCATTTTGTTATAAATCAAGTTCAATTTTATTCATGCTTTGTAATGTTTATATCCTTTTACTTTAAGTCAAGTTCATTTTTTCATAAGTGGCATAATTATTTTATTTACTAGTATTTTTTGTTAATAAAAACATAAGATTTAAGTTCATTAAAAATGAATACTATATATTTTCTAATAAAATAAGTTAAAAAAAATAAAAAACTTTAATATATATATATATATATATATATATATATATATATATGTATATATAAACATCAAATCAAATAGGGGGATGGGATATTAAATGGATTGAGGGGGGCTGAATACCTTCACCCTATGGAAAAAATGTGCAAGGGTATTTATAAAAATTTTGGAAATTAACACTTATTAATGACTAGCCAAACATATAAAATGATTTCTATGAAAAATATAATAAAATATCAATATAATTTTTCATTTGATCCGATTCTAAATCCTTCTTAATAAATGAAGAGTTTTTTTTTGTCACATGTCAATCTTTCATTAGTTTTGACACTTGTCATTTTGTAGTATTTTTGAAATAAATATTATCCACTTGTCAATTTTTGGTTTGTTTCAATTTTTAAAATTAAAGTCATATACTTATATATGTAAAGTATTAAATATCATATATATGATACTCCCTCCGTCCCAATATTATTGTCCACAGACAAAAAAACATACAGATTAAAAAAGTATTAATTACCATTAACTTTATACAATAAAATGACAGTTTTGTCATTACTTTGCATTTAATGTTCTATTAAATGTTTAGTTGGTTAAGTAATAATGGGGAGTATTTTGGTAAAAATGTTATTTATTTTTAGAAGTGGACTATTATTTTAGGACAAACCAAAAAGAAAAGATAGACTATAATTTTGGGACGGAGGAGTATTAAATTGCAATAAATACGTTTCTCCATTTCTTATTTTAAATTGTACATTAAAAAATATTTTATGTTTACACTTTAATGTTTAATCTTTTTTAAATCAATCCGTGTAATACACAGGTCTCACAATGAAAATATATTATTGATAATTTTCTTTGAAACATTTCAATTTACTGTAAAGTGTAAAATAGAAGATAACCATACCTATCATTTTTTTTCTTCTTATTTTATAGTTTGTGGAACGTGACTGCCTACAAATATAATCTTAGGGTTCTTTTTTCTCCCGATTGTTGCAAAGATAAAATTTAGTTTTTATCTTCCTAAAAAAACTATATAAATAAAAATAAATAACCATTTTATCCTTATATTATTTTATTTATATGTATGTATGTATCAATTTTAACATGCTGAAAGTTTGGAAGAAGAAAATATTGAAAGGTCAAATAGATAGAGGGTTAAGAAAGAAACAAATGTATATACGGGTTATTCATTATTTGGATAAAACTGAATTTTTTAGACTATTTGGTTTGAATATACAAATTTTTGGATTGGTTTTCAAGGAAAACTGAATAATTATTTAGGATTTCGGATTGATTTTTGTTTATAAAATATGAAGCGAATTGTCCAAAAAACAGAATAAGAATTTATTAGTTATCAGTGTTTTAAAAACCGGTTTGAACCGGCCGGTTGAACCGGGAATCGAAGAAGGAAGCGGTTCAACTACCACCGGTTTTATGTTTATTTATGAACCGGAATGAACCGGTCGATTTTACAAAAATCTGGTTGAACCGGTTAAAATAAATCAGTTGAGCCGGTTAAATTAAATAAAAACACATGAAAATTAATAATTATTATAACAAATTTTCGTTTTTTTCCACATATGTTAGATTTCTTTGACTAAAAAACACATGGTAAGTGTTATCAAGTTTTTTAATGCATTTGTATTCATCTAAGACTATATTTTGTTTCCGTATTATACTTTATTTTATTTTTGATATATATAGAGTGATGTAAAACTTACAGTTATGTGTTTTCAATGTATTTTGATTGATCTTAAACTTGTATTTATGTGTATTTGTAATTTTTAAACTTGTGGATGTGTATGTGTGTGTAGGAAAATAATAAAAAAAAATGAAAATAATAGAAACCGGTTGAATCGACGGTCGAACCAGTTAAACCGGGAACGATCACCATACCGGTTCAACTAAAAAACCGGTTTTTAAAACACTGTTATTTATTCATTTATTTATAGTATGGAAAATGGCATTGTAGCCCTATAAAGTTCATGAATTGGTCTAAACATTCACTACTTTTTTTGCTTCATGGGGGTATAAAATGACTTTTTTTTGGGTTGAAATAGTCCTTTTAAATTTTCTGAAGGGGTAACCCGGTTACACCTTGCCAAATAGACACTTATCTTGACCCTTAGCCTAGATAGGTAACATGAAAGCTTCAATGGTGTTTGATCCACATTTGCCTTCAAAATTAAGAAGTCATGGAAACCAAAGTATCAACATTTAATAGAATAGAAAACCTCAAACAATCCACCAACATTTTTTTTCTTCAGGTGAGAACATGTTGAAGATGAAGACGAAGACATCTGCTCAATCAAATCTATGAATAATCAGACGGAAATTTCCAAAGGTTTTGCAAAGAATGTGATGCAAAGAAGAAACTGATAGCTAGTTGTGGTATAAGGAACAATATATTCAGTTCCAATGTCATCGTGCTCTGTGATGAATCAAAACCATAGCAAGTCTTCACCCTTGAATTTCTCAAATCTCTGGTTGAGGAACGAAAAAGGTGCTAGATGATGTCTTCTATGCTGCCTTATGTCAATGTAACACCGTAAATTTTCAACCAAAATTTTCATTTTTAAAACACATAAAAATTCATGTCACATTTTCCAATAACCACAATTGCCTCAAATGTCAAACACAAATCCACAAAATAAC